TTATGCTACACAAAGATTTTAGAATAAATTTAGTGTGGAGTTTAGTAGAAGAATCGTTAGGAATGAACCAAGAATTACATACACGAAAAAAAAGTGCAATTATTCAATCAAAATTACACAATCAAAGTTCAGAAAAAAGACCAATTTATGTTACAAAAAAATTCGAATTACCCATTGAATGATTATATCCACAAGACCATTATCCAGTATATCGTGAAAAGAGAGAGTCTTGCGTTTGGTGTCGGTTTCAATATATAACCGAGCATGGAAAACATGACGATAATTCACCCCGGAGTAGTATGTAACGTTCCTTTATGTATTAATAAGCAACGCCCAGATTGCTTTATTAATTACCATGAATATAAATAAACCAAAAAAATAACATTTTTATACCTTTTTATAACATTTTTTATTATTTATGTTATTATTTTTTGTATAATTGTAATATATGTGACGATCGAAAAATTTCAGTGCAAATTTGCACTGAATTTTAAACGGTTTAAGGGATATTTAAGATTAGGGAGTTTCTATTTGTACACGGGGTGTCTGAACACGGACATATGGACAGCCAATCAGAACACACGATCAGGTGTAACGTAAAATTAATGCGTTCTTTAAAAAATTGGTTATAGCTCAACATTTCGCTTATGAAACCACCTTTTGGGTATTAATTAAAAAAATTCCTTGCGAAATTTTGGTATAAGCTATCTTCTGCCTCCATCCCAAACTCATCCTTACCCTAACCTTAGGCAGCGTTTAACTTTTCGTTCTATGCAAATTGTTTTGATTTACACGTTACACAGATTTGCAAATTAATATCCGTGTACAGACACCCCGTGTACAATTAGTTATTTTCTTAAGATTAAATCATCTAAATTAAATAGATACATGTTAATAAAAATAAGTTATGTAAATGTGATACTTTCAATATTCAGAAATTGAACCAAAAATTAGGCTTAATGTTTGAATATCGAAATCTTGATTTAAATACGATAGCTAACTTTCACCATATATTAACTTCTAATAAATACCACCTTAATTATCTATGAAATTCTGATTAAAATAAATCATTATACGGATCATACCAAGTATAACAAATACAATCTATTAAAATACATTACTTGGATAGAAAAATAAAGAACTTGAATTTTGCTTGGGTAACTACAATTATAAATTATAAATTTAGATTCTGCAATAAATCTTAGAATAAAGAACTCGCAACTGATATTATATTTGTAGATGTACCAAGGATCTGCACATTTGTTAACGTCCTTTTTTAAATGGTTCTTTTTTTTTTTTGACAGAATACAAATATTATGGCAAATATGCATTTACGCAAGAATAATATAAAAAAAATTGCTTTTATTATAAATTTAGTGTAGATGTAATAAGTAATATATAGCAATTTATAAAATTTAAATATATACTGTACTATTTTAAATTTAATTCCAAGTATAAGACCTAATAACTAGAGCTCCAGCCCACAAAACGATGCCGTTTTTCTAGTATTGTAATATATTTATGTATAAATTTTTTGAATTGTAAATTATTAAATTTTTTTTAAATAAAACATTGTTTATAACATATAACAAAGATTTTGCAACAAAATAAATATACTGTATTAAAAACGATTAGGCCACGCAAAATCAATTGTTTTCATAACCCGTCCGGGTCAAATTTTTAGAACTTTTTTACAACTTATGTTCTAATGACAGAATGCGTTTTAAACCAAAATTTTATAAAAATTTTATATATGAAATTTAAAAAAAAAGTCGGCCGGCAGGTTGGGTATATTTAAAAGTTTCATGTTATTAAAACCGAGATATTAAATTGTACGGCCTTATTCTTTAGAGAAATTTGCGTATAAGGTCCCGAAAAATGCAACTAATTAAAATAAGATTAAAAATAAAGATAATTAAATATAAGTGCCAAATTTGAAAAAATTTTACAATTAAAGACTGATAGTGATTATTTAAACGTTATCACCGTATATATGTACTACTTTATACATACCTTTCATTTAATGTATCCTTTAACCAAGATGCAATTCGATTAGGTTAAGCACGATATTCGTTCTGTTCTAAACTAACAAGTCTATCCTACACCAAAACTAATTATGAAACATGAGTCATATTTTAGAACTCATTTGTATTTATAAAGTTAAATTCCTTTTGGAAATTGGCAAACTAGATATGTAAAATGCTAAGTAAATAAATGCAATATTGATTAAAAAGTACTGGTAATACGCTTAACTCTCAAAAAGAAATTACATTTATATGTTAAAGGCTCGCTTTTATTAATACAGTATTTCTTTATTTTTTTATTATTAACGCAATTTAATTAATTGAATCCACGAATTTTACGTGTCGTGATGATCGACAAAACAACTCCGCATTCCCACTTCCCAAGTAAAAAATCCCCTAAATTATCCAGATTTTAATTGTAATACAACACTATAACTAAATTAAGTATGCAAGATAAAATAAATACATTTATTATGTAAAATAAAAATAGTACTAGGGATGTACCTTGTGTAAGATAAACCCTAGGTATATAGTATATATTTCAGTATTTAACATATCAATGTTTCATGTAAGATCGCAGTTATACAATATTGCAAGTTATCATATTTCATTTTAAAACATGATATTTATTTTACACAAATTGTATAAAATCATTACAGGTAAGGTAGAATTGTTATATCACATGAGATATATGTATAGTATACAGTATATACTCTTAATATGCCATACCAGAATAATGATAATGAAATAGGATTTGGAATTTGAGATATTTGGAATTTGGGAATTTGGGATTTAGCGATTTGGGATTGGGATTTGTTTTATTACATTGGATTTTAGACATGACTGGACAATCCCATTTGTTTAGATTTGCCCACGGACAAATCCCAAATTCAAAGAGTTTGTTTGGCAAGTATACTAAGTTATGGTTAGTGTTATATCTGGCGTTGGGTAATGAAAAGCATATGGTAAAATTAAGTAAAATTTTTTATTAGAACGTAAAAGTATATTTGGGTGACGCCAAGTGAAAACCAGGAATCCTAAAAATAGCTTTAGACAACGGATTAAGGACTTTAAATGATATACTAACGCTAATATATGATCAAAAAAACAGTATAATTTATTATTCTAGTCAGATCGGTTAAAAGCCCACATTCCGTTATCTAAAGAAATCTATTTTTAGAATTCCTGGTTTTCACTTGGTGGCACCCATTTGCTGGCAAAACCTGAACAAATCCCAAACCAAAAAAAATACAATTGCCCTTTACAAAAAATTGAATCAAAAAAATGATATTTTGCAAGCATGAAAAATTCTGTGCCAGGTTTTGTCGATCATTGTGACACAGATCCCTAAACTACAAATCAGATTTCATGAATTAGGAAATTCCAAAAAAAATGTTCGTCTTGTCAAAAATCAAAATCTGCATAAAAAAAACCACCTTTAGTGCTCTAACAAAAAGTTTTCCTTGAGCGAATTTACTATATAATCGCCTAAATCTCTAACCTTATTCTAAACTCTAATCCTAACATTAATGTACTTTAAAAATTTGCCTGTACCACAAACCTGGTACAGAAGTTTTTCATGCAAATTTATATGCGTACGTACGTACGTACCTGTTACGCACTTGTTTACACAAAATTCGATTTCCTTTTTGGTTTGTGTTACTCGAGCAAAATAAGTAAAATCGCGACCAAAAATTTGCCATTGATTCCCTTAGCGTTAGCGTTAGTCAATTAACAGTCATACGCAATTACGGTAATTGTGTAATGTTGACATAAAGTCCGTTACATCTCAGATTAGATCGAAATTGATAATCTTTGTCGCTACTTTTATATAAAATATGTCATCACCATCCTTTTTTATTTCAAGTATCAATGTTTCTCACCACAATTCTGACATACCGATACCTCACCCAAGCTTATTCAAGCTTGTCTAAACTCATATATTTTAAAAATTTATATGATCACATATAACTTTTAATTCTAAACATTTTCATCTAGATTACCAAATCATATTTTATTGCAATAAAATTTTTTTGAGTAATGCAATTTTTTCATATCAAAATCGCCAAATTTGTCGTGACAACATGCTTACTATATAACTTTTTTTTTTTTTAATCTATAAATTAGCTCTCAAATTTTTTTTAAAAAAAATGTTACATTTTCCTGTTTACAAATTCAATCAATTTTCTAGCAAATTCAATCAATTTTCTAGCAGATTTGCACTAATTTCATCCCTGCATCGATGCTATCTGCGACAATATCATCCATCAAAAAAGGCTTTGGGGGTAACATTACTTAAATTTTATGTATTCGAAACACTTTTGATATCTTCTATAATGAGTAAACGTTTCTTTTTAACAGACCGTTGTAGAAACTGACAGAGTATGTATAATATCATTTCTGCAACCAATACTAATATGACATAAGTTTATATCATGCCTTTTTTTTAACCTTTGATAGGATCTAATATTTGAAGTTTTAAGCACCGTCCCTAGCCGAAAAGAAGCACAATCTTTTCTTAAACGATTTACAATACCTTATACGAGACCACCAATTCCTAAGCCAAAAGTTGCCAAAGTACCTTCAACCGACAAAAGATCATCATCTGAACTCACAGAAAGTGATACCAACCAACAAGAATTACGAAAGGAACAATTTATCGATTCATTATTCTCAACGAATTTTGATCATGTTGCTTTGATCAAAATTCAGGGTCCATTCACTCCTTTTAATCTGAAATCAGTTGCTAAATCATTGGTTCATTTACAAAAATTGGGATTAATGTCAATTGTGGTCTTGGACAACGATAATTGGAAAGAAATGTTAAAGGAAGGTCCAGCTCGATTCAATGAATTGAAAAAGTGGATGTTGGAGGATGCTACAAAACTTAGTGAAGCAATTGAAGTCTCTGGCGGAAAATCAACCCCTATTTCTGATGGTGTATTTACACTTACAAATAGTCATGTTCCTGAAAAGAATACAAATAATCATTATCAATATTTCAAGCTTCCTGGGCGAACCTTAGCAACTGATGCCGGCGCAAAAATAAATGTTTCATTGCGTTGGCTTAAATGGTGTTATAATCTGGGACAAATCCCACTAATTCTTCCCATAGCTCTTGATGGATTACTAATCCAGCGAACTATTCCTGCAAATTCTGGAATGATTGAGTTATCCCGTACTATATCAAACCCATCCAATGCAGATTCGTTGAATCTAAAAACTCCAGAGCTAGAACCAATGAAAATAATTGTTATCAACTCAGAAGGTGGAATCCCATCTGAGGAACGTAAAGGAGCTCATGTTTTTATCAACATCCAACAGGAATATGATTATTTAAAACAAAGTTACAAGGTCAATCCAGAATGGAATTACACACATCCCACTGGCCTTGAAAACTTAGAACTAGTAAAATCTTGTTTAGAAAATCTTCCCCCTACATCATCGGCCATCATGGTTCCAGCCTATTCTTCTGCCGCATTAGTATCTAACCTAATAACTGATAAACCACGATTTTCATCGTCATTACCACTTACGGCCTCAACAACTCCATCGACCCCTATAACAGTTTTACGATACGGTGCGCCAGTACTTTTTCATCACTCACTCTCTACCATCAACATACCTTCTTTCCAATCACTAATTGAGGCATCATTTGGTCGCAAATTAAAAATCGATGACTATTTATCAAGATTAGAAAATTGTTTAGATATGATTATTGTCGTTGGTGATTATCAAGGTGCGGTTGTGGTTACCATGGAGGATGCTGAAGGGAATAAAAAAGGTGATTTACCTTATTTGGACAAAATTGCGGTTGCACCCAATTCTCAAGGAATGGGCATTGCCGATATATTATGGAAACAATTACAAACAAATTATCCAAACTTATTGTGGAGATCGCGAGATGATAATATAGTTAATACATGGTAAGTGAATAGATGCATATTTATATAGATACCTATTTATAAAATGAATTAATAGTAATTATAAGAATATTTTTTACAACTAGGTACTTTGAAAGGTCAGACGGTAATTTTCGTATTCCGGGTACTCATTGGGTTATGTTTTGGTATGGTTCTGATGCAATCAATAAATTACATGAATATGCCAAAGTCTTTAAAAGGATTCCTGCATCATTTTTTTAAATCCATTTACTACAGCACATTACGTGAACAACTTCTAATCTATAATTTTTAATGTATTATACTTTTTAATGTTTTGGCAGAAATGATTTTGCAATACTTGAATTAATTTTTGTTTAATAGTAATTGTTTTTAAAAAATAATATAAATATAAGAATTATATTTTCATCTGGGTTAAGATTTATTCATATTGCCTAAATATTAATATCAGTCATGGGACATGTCCCTTTACAAGGTTCCTAAATATCATGCATTAATAAAATCAACATGCTTATCGCTCGATTTTTATAAGAAATTTCGTTTTCGCCATGTATGTACATCTCATATAGTGGGATCGTTTAATTTTGCCAAGTTCACTAAAAATTTTACTAATGAAGTCATTAAAAATGCTCAGCTGATAATTTTGTCATAGATTATGTTGGCTAACATTGATATTTTCTATGTCTGAGACATCGTTATTTATTGCTGTATTGAATTGAATACGTAAACATTAATAATCTTTAATATTTCTGTCAATGAATATGTCGTGCATCAGTTTAAAATTTGCGTCAGATTAAAATTTAAATGCGGAGTTTTTTAGGGTAAGGGTGGGTGCC